AGGCCTTCCACCACCCGAACCACTTCCTCGCGCCCTACAAGGCCGCGGAGGTCGACGCCGACGGCGCGCTGCGCCTCAAGTGGTGGCCCGGCAACGACGCCCTCGCCGGCGCGCGCGTCGACCGCTGGGAAAACGCGCCGCTCGACCTCGCGGTCGGCGTCGTCCTCGGGGGCCGCGTGGACCTCCGGGGCGCGCGCGCGCCCGCGAACGCGAGCGGCGCCTACGCCGCCTGCCTCCCGGGCTTCGAGTTCGCCCTCACGGACGGGTCTTCGCTCGTCGTCCTCGTCGACGGCTGTGCCGAATTCAACCAGTGGAATGGACGCGTCCAGCAAAACTTCAAACCTCTCTATCTCAAATCGAAGTCGATTCGGCTGATTTTTGGACGGATCGATTGCTCTCGGCGAGTTCTCGAAGCACAGTAGAAAGCGTCGCGTCGAAACGTTCGCATGCGCGCACATTGAAGTCGGGTTGAAGATTTGAATTCGGCACAGGTCGACGGCCGGGGCCGCGGCGTCACGGGCCGCGTCGACCGGGCGAACGCCTTCGCGCCCTACGACGCCGTCGACCGCGGCCTCGGGGAGCTCCCGACGACCTTCCGGCTGCTCGTCCGCGCGTCCATGGTCGAGCTCTACGTCGGCGACGTGTTCCTCGTCATCGAGAGCGCGCCCTGGCGGACCAAGGGCGGCGCGGCCATGACCGGCGCCGTGGCGCGGACCGCATGCGCCGCGCGCCGCGTCCGCGTCGAGTCCGCCCGCGCCATGACGCTCCCGCCCTGGGCGCCCGCCGGCGCGTAAGGAGTGGTTCAACAACGCTGCAATGATGATGCAACTTGATGGCTTCTGGGATTGCCTCGCTCGCCGCTGCTCGGCGCCTCACGCTACGCGCTCGCCTCCTCGCACCATGCTCGGCGGCGCGCTGAAGAAGGCCGTCGGCGGCAGCATCCCCGGCGCCGTGGCCATGGTGCTCCAGGTCGTCCTGCTCATGTGGCTGCGGACGACCGTCAACTACCAGATGCGCCACGGCGGGTCGCTGCTCGCCGTCATGCGGCTGCTCTACGCCGAGGGCGGCGTGGCGCGCTTCTACAGCGGCATGTCCATGGCGCTGCTCCAGGGCCCGCTGAGCCGCTTCGGCGACACGGCCGCGAACGCGGGCATGCTCGCGCTGCTCGAGGGAAGCAAGATGCCCGTGCTGGTGCAGACCGCGTTCTCGTCGGCGGCGGCGGCGGGCT